ATTTTTAATACATTTATATTGAATATTTCAACATTTCTCACATATACGATGAATATCATACGATTACATTATTGTGGAGGCTTTCAGTTCACATGAAAATACATGATGAAGGATTTCGTTGGTTGGTACCACGATTAATGTGAAGGAAAATCAGTCAAACCAGTCTACATGCACCTATCTCGATATATTTTCCTTTCTAGTCATAAGTCATCTCGACCGAGTAGTAAGTTGAGAAGTTTGCAAGAATGAGTTCCAGCTCTGACTATGTTCGCCATATGATGGACTAAGGCTTATCCGATCCTACGTCAAACTGAATTTCGTATTTAAGCCAAAAGGTTGCAGTAGAACAGCAAGCGGCAAACATTTCATCATGTATGTACATACGAAATGAAAATCTTGCCAATAAAATGTTTTAGTCTAGACTTACTTGACGTTTAGCAACTATCTTGCAAAGATATTTGAAATGTATTTCTGTTTCATGTATTCCAATTTTAACAGTCTAAAGACATTTCTCATGGACTGGGTCAATGATGTGGATCTTTTGCTGGTCGTTATCTGCTTTGTTGAATCCATCGTTATGGTGGCCACAAGATCAATCTTACTACACTACGCAAAGTGAGTTCAGTCTCATTCCACACTTTACTCATCGCTTTGTTTGGTATTTTTAAAGATTATCGGGACATTTTTATTATGCATTTTTGCTCTTTATTTTATGTGGCTACTTCCTCATGACTCGGCCTGCGTGTAGTTTTTCTGAATTAATTTTTAATGAATAAGTCAATTGTCCGAACGTCATGGAGTTATTGAGGTGAGTATAATGAGCCAAAACAGCATGTAATGACTTATTTGACGCTAAATTGCTGCTGCAAAGTTAATACTTTACGTGTTGAGCTTACCTCCAGCTCTATTGAATGTGTTCCGTGAAGTGATTCGAAGGTAGATTCCACCAGAAGACGACGGCGTCTCGATTCCTCGATCGGCTCTATTGGAACATTCTTGCTGACACTGTTTCCGGGACAAGCTACTTTGATTCCGGTTAAAAGTGTCAAGGTTTCGTCGAGCCATATGACGAACATCAGCAAAGCAGATGCTAACATCCTTAAAACCGTATTCAAGCTGAGTCAAGAAAACCCACCGACAGCATGTAAGTGTGTAGGTATATATATATATATATATATATGTGTGTGTGTGTGTGTGTGTAAGTGCCTGTGTGTGTTTGTATATGTACGAAACCTGCAGTGATGGCTCAAAGTAATTCCGAAAGCAAAAGTAATGCCTCTTCTTGACGAATATCATCACTTCTTCTCTATACACATTTTGACGATTACTCTGATTGCGCGAGGTCGAACACACGTCTGGTTAGATTGATGAGCTCTTTGTCTTAATGTGAGAGATAAAGAATGAACTAAAATGTACGCAGAAGTGACCGTGATTAGGACCAAGACAAGAACAGAAAAAGCAGTTTGGTTGCCTCTTTCTCGCAGGTGGTACAACACCCTTTCTATCCTTGATCCTGTTAATTGGGCACAAATAATTTTTGACCTTATTTTCGCAACTTGGTCATGTTGGTATCCTACCAATATTGGCAGGAAGACTTAGAGGAACTTACCTAATTCGGAGTCTATTGTATGCATGAGTATTTACAAAGTCCACGGTCCGACATTGGAAATGATCATGAATACTAGATGCATTCCTATAAATCTTCCTGCCAATATTGGTAGGATACCAATATGACCAAGTTGTGAAAAAAAGGTCAAACAACTTATATAAAACGAAGGAGACTGCGACCACACAAAAGGCCACCTCATCTTGGCATTCATACCTTCGATGAAATAATTTTACATAACTTCTTGCCGGTATTCCTTGGATTTAATATATCCCTTATTCGGCTCATTTCGACAGCTAAACTAATTTTACATTTAACCCCAGATATGACATAATCAACAAAGCGAGAACCTTGAGACCATTCAATCTCATCTCCAGTTTCTGCCGTGTGTTCTGCTGGCTCTGATTAGTAAACCCAAAAGTATCTACATGCATTTTTGTGCTCAGCCACCTTTTGCCGAATGTGGCAACATGTCATTTCAGCATAAAAGCGACCACATGGACACATTATTTTGTAGCAACCCGACCTGGATCCTGGGTCAAATTTCTCTCTAAAAGTGGGCATAACTGAAGAAAGTGTAGTAATTTCCCTCAAAACCTTTCTATTCCTCACTTTCTTACTAGTTTGCTTATCTTTTTTAGAGAAAATGTGCGAAGACAAAGATAAAACATATGAAAAGGTCTCCTTATCTCTCCTTAAATATTCGCCAGTCAAAATATTATTCTTTATTAATCCAATTTTATTTTTAATCAAGCCTAGAATATAATTTTACTCAAGAAATATCAGTTTGAGCCGATATAGTTCATTATCGCAATGCTCTTTACCGGCTAGTCTGATGCTCCGGATTTTAAAACACCAATCTTTGTTTTGTAATTATGATTTGAGTGGAAATTAACGATAAAGCCAGCATGTATTTGCTTTCTGTACACCATTAACACATCCAAAAAAAGATACATTATTCCCCTTCTCCACCTCAATTGTCAACCTATCATTGCAGTCAATCTGGTTAATTAAGAACAATAAATTATTTAAACTCTCCTTGTCATGCCGCCATATGGAAAAGTAGTCCTCCGTGTATCTAACTAACAGTTTTGGTGTCAATCTTACCTCTTCCGTGAAGTGTTCCTTCATTCCTGACATCTAATTATTAGATAAATTGGGAGTCAAACAAGATACCATTGCTCGGACTCGCACTTGTCGACAAATCCTATCCTTAAAGGTAAAGTATGCACTACTCATGGATAGATTTAATTGCAAGATTGAAAATTTGCTCAGATTTTAGTCTCAATGATATCTCGATGATCATTCAGACTGGAATGTTAGTATACATTAGTCAAAAGGTCCTCCTTTCCAATAGTATGCCGATTTAGCAATCTAACAAATTCTTAAAGTAATCATAAAATAGAGACAAACAGACAGACACACATACATGCTTCGAGGTTGACATATGACTGGAACTAGTCAAATCACTTTATACCTCATCAAAGAGCTCAAATATAAATTATATATACAACAGTTTAGGGATGAGCCAGTGGGTTATCTTGACTTCTTAGCTTGAATATGATTGTACGGTAACGATGGCGGACGAAAGCTTTGCACCTTTTCACCGAAATCGAAGGAGCTTTACCCGGAAACAGTATGTTCCAATAAAGCCGATCT